CAGGGGAAACTTGCCCTAAATTACAAGCTGAGAGAGGGAAAAGAAACTTGGAAAGCAGCAGTACTGTTAGACTCCGAAATAAGTGAGGCCAAATGGATGAGGGCAGGCTTTGCAAGACAACTTAAAGCCTGAAGAGGCTGGGCTATTTTAGACAGCAAAGCAAGAGGTGTTGGGCTGCAGAGAGAAGAATCCTCTCTCTCCAGTGAGACTTACTTTGAAGGCTGAGGGCAGCTGCAGGCACCGGAAGGAAAAGGAAATGGAGATCAAAGGAACAAGACCAGAACACCTCACACTTTTCCCTGTACACCACCTGTTCTGAGGAGCTCAAGACACTTCACAAGCCTTAACTGAAGACTATATCATAGACAGAAAACTCAACAAGAACTTGCCCAAGTTCACTCACAAAGACAGGTGAGGGGCAGGGCTGCTGGCCACAGAGGCCTCTACTCTCGGTCATCTATTCTAGGTGGGGAGCCCAGAGAGTATGTATTATACACTAAAAACTCTTGGTTGCTATGAGTCCCAAGGGCAGTGGGTAGTGGAATGGTGACAAAAAAACTGGCTAGGACTCAGGGATATTATCATAAAGTTTTCCTATTTCTGCCCCCAAGGGAAATTCCTGCTGATCTAAGTAAGGCAATGACCAGCTCCTTACATCTTACCCTACAACAGGGCACTTCTCTCAGATCTATTCCTGATACAGCAGTTTAACAGAGCAATCAGTCCAGAAGATACAATGGAGATTAAACAAACTGCTCAAGGAGAAGAGTATACTTACTGGGCTAGCTTTACATATTCTCAAGAAGCCTCAAAGAGGACTTGGGTATGAAGCCAACAGATTTCAGGGTGGGCTGAAACCAGCAGTGGGCTTCTGGTGGAACTTAATATATACACAACTAACAAACTCTACCCCCAGAGGTTCTGATTCCATATAGATAGGATGAGGCCCAGGAATGCGTATTTTTTTAAAAGTTGCACAGGTATTCTGATGTCTTACTGCCCTCCTGACCTCTCCCCCAAGTTGAGCGCCATCAAGCTAGAGCCAGCCAGTGATCCATAAATGCTTTGAAAAAAGGATTTCCCTGGTGGCGCACTGGTTAAGAATCCGCCTGCCAGTGCAGGGGACACAGGTTCGAGCCCTGGTCCGAGAAGATCCCACATGCGGCAGAGCAAATAAGCCCACGCGCCACGACTACTGAGCCTGCGCTCTAGAGCCCGGGAGCCACAACTACTGAAGCCTGCACACCTAGAGCCCATGCTCCACAACAAGAGAAGCCACCGCAATGAGAAGCCCATGCACCGAAGAGTAGCCCCGGCTCGCCACAGCTAGAGAAAGCCCGCGTGCAGCAACGAAGACCCAACACAGCCAAAAATAAATAAGTAAATAAATAAATTTATATTTTAAAAAAATGAATATGACTCCTCACTGCCAAATAGGCATAATAAAGAGTCTCAATACTAATACCTGGGCTCAAACACTAATCCAAAGCTGAAATTAGATTACTGCCACTTTTTTCTTCTCTATGAAACTCACCTACACAAATTCTTCTTACAGCCACATACTAAAAGGCTCAAAGCACTACCATACAATCAGGCCGGAGAAACACTGGGGGAAGAAATGGTGGGGGGGGAGGATATGAATTAGACTTATATTCATAAAAACTGAGAACTAGAAGAAAGTTGCAGTCACCTTGTCCATTGTTTCCAAAGGGATAATATATAACTCGGATTGTATTAATGGCTATTAATAAGGAAGAAGATTTCAAAACCTCCCTCACTCATTTTTTCAAAACCTAACAACCCTCCAGCACAGGCAATCCTTTTGTATCCCTAATTTAAATCTTGCCTGCTTGGCTTCAGTCCATTTCTGTCCTTTGTTAAAATGAAAAACAACCCAGCTCCTTCCACATAAAAATCTTTCAGAAACTTAAGAAAAGAGGGGGAGGGTTAGCTATCAAGAGCACACACATTTGCTTCTTAAAGAAAACACAGTTCAACTGAGATGAGAGAAAGAACTGACAATTGCATAGGATTTGAAGTTGAAGAGTGTTTACAACTGATAACTTTGAGTTACACTTCATCAAGACTCAGCAGATCTGGCATGAAACCTCAAATTACTCTTTTCCAATTCTATTACACTGCAGAGACTTCCTTCCCTCCCTTAGAGAAAGTTTAATACAAACCTCAGCTCTCATCTACTCTCTCTAATAACTTAAATCCCCATCTCTACTGACTCTCACTTTGGCTTTTAACCATATTTTAACCATATTTTTAACTAGGTCTCTCCTGAATTAAAAAGCCTTTAATGAGCACTACTTTCCTTTCTCTCTAATGCCCTTCACACCTAAATAGGCTACATCTCTATTTCTTTTTTTCACATTTTATTCTTCCTAATTTTGATTTCTCTACTAAAGAGGTCACAAACTCCTCCTGATCATTTTTGCTATTCTTATGGAATTTCAAGTTTATCCCCACTATATTTGACAGCTTTAAATTGTTCTCATTCATTCATTCATTTAGTATTTAGCGCATTCCTTACACTGTACTACACAGTGTGATGTAAAGGAAATAAAGAACATGGCTCTGACCTTAGGAAATGAAGAAATACATAAAAGAACAATTAGAGATTGGTTCCAAGGTAGTAGGGCTAGTCAGAGAAGGCCCTGTGGCTCCAGTAAATATAGAGTTGGATCTAAAAATAAGTGGAGAATTTGGTGAAAAGCCTACTTTAGACAGCAGGAACAGTTATGATTCAAAGCAGCAGGCCATATGAGGTTAAGAGCTGCAGAAAGGCCCTCTGTCGCTTCCTTCTTTGTCCCCACCCCACACAAAAGGCATATGTCTTTTGGTCTTCAAATTTTGTTTCAGAGTTATTTATCCATGAAGCACAAACTCTCTGACTGTTACCACAGCTACCACATATTAGAGCAACTCACAAAGCCTTGTACACCAGGTCTTAACGTTGGTTACCACAAGGCAGGCTTTTAGAATCATCTCAGGTAGAGTCTTCAGTAAGGAGTGTGGGGAGTCAGGCATCTGCAAGGTCCGAGGCACACAAAGGCAGCTACTACTTTGGGTGCTAAAGATATGCACCAGCACTCTTGCTCTGTCAGACTGTTCAAGAGTCATTCAACTTTAGCTAAGTATTTCCTTCATTCTCAGCTCTAGGACAAACAAAGCCATTTAAAGCAGTCTGAAGCACTGAATTCCTATTTGAAGCAGGGATGTTTCATGGTGATGCCAAGGATTCCTTTTTTCACTGTTTTCCTTGAGAGCTTCTCCTCTTCTCTTGCCTCAGGACTCACAGTTCGAGCATCCCTTCCTCTGTGAAGTTTTTTTTCTAATCCCCCTAAGCTGATTTAGTTTCCCTCCCCTGTGCTGCCATTAACACCTTTATACATACTTCTAGGACAGCATTTACCACACCATGTTGTAATTATTTGTTTACATGTCTGACAGCCACAAGCTCTTTGATAGCAAGGATATGATGTTTTATTCATTGCTGATTCTACACATAATAGGCACACAATAAACGTTTGTAGAATGCATTAATGATGAACGACATGGTAAATTTTAAAGAATGGTAACCGTACCATCCGGTTACAATAAGTATTAATACTGAAGACTAAACTCCCATCATACATTTCTATTACCTATACCATTCTTGTTCAGAAAAAGAGACCAAAGAGACACGAAGATGGCTCTAATGGTGCTGGTCATTGCCAAGTTACCAGCCAAGAATATGAGAGCTTACAGTACTAAGAATGATCCAACACAACAAATGAGTGAATGGAGCCAAATCTAAGACAGTGCCTATGTTTCAGGCTCATTCTCCTGCCTCTGGAGACTATGAACAATGATTAATAAGAGCACTCGGAAAAGTCACTATCTCCACAGCCATGGAACCTTGCGCCCAATTTTGATTCCTGTTGAATGAAATATACAGCAAAGGTGTTCACCTTCTGACCAAATCCAAGTAAGGTTTTGCTAAGGGACAGGGATCTGAGTTAAGTCCTCCCAGAACTCTGCCATGCTGTACATTAGCATTCTAAATCATTCCTCATTGGGTTTACTCATCTCTGAAGAGATACAGGCAAGGCAACAAAATGCTGCTGTCTCAAATGTCTCTCCCTGTAGCAATCCTGCACTACACAAGGCTACTGTGTTTACAGGCTGCTTATAAGACACAAAAGCCTAATCTGATCCTGTGGCAACAAGGCCCCAGGTTCCCTCAGGAATTAAATAAATTAGTCTACTTTTGTATTCCCAAACTTGTGGGGCTCTACAAAGTTCAAGAAAGCATAAACATCTACACCCAGACATGGGAGGGGATGGAAAGGGACGTGGTCTCTGAGGAACTTCTGCAGCAGGGTGAGATATAGTGAATGAGATAAGCAATGTTCAAGGGCAAACCAGAATTGCTTGCCTGGCAGATATTTGGCCCCTTGCATGTTACCATTCCTAAAAAGCCAAGAAACTCCAGTTAAATTAATTCAGGTCTCTTGAACAGATAAGTAAATTTGTTTTGACACCAGGGAAGAGCATTTACCTAGCCGATTCCTCCGACTCGGTGTTTTAGCATATTTCTTTCTGCTGCCACTGTCTTACATAACCCCAGCTGTGACACTAACACTTGCGGCTACATTAGTGGCAGCTTAGCCCTTCACAGGATATGTGGTCCCACTACCCTCTTCCAAGAAGGAAAACTGAGTCACAGCATATCAACTGGCTTCCCCAAGCACAGACTTAGTTTGTAGTGAGGCCACAACTGAACCCGGGTTGCCTTCCTCATGTTCTTCCCTTTTCATAGATGAATCTCAGCATGCTCATCCCTGCTTGCTCATTGCTTTCTTGAGGGGCAGAGATGGGCACACTCGGTCCTTTAGAGCCAAAGTGAGCTTCTAGTTCTCCTCCTTCCCAAGAAAGAGTAAGGTAAAAGATGTACATGGCGCAGAGGAGGATAGGGGAGGAAAGGGGTGGCTCCCAATACTAGGACTCACCTTGGAGCTGAGGTCCTCTCGCCGGTTTCCTGCCTTACTCCTGCGTAATTTGATGGATGGGGATCGCAGAAGGTTCTTGATCCGGCTGGTAATGGTTGACCCTTCCACAGCCATCATGATGAGGAGCCCCCCGGGGCACTTCCTGGCGCAATCTTAGGACTTGTCTCAACAGCGGCACTGCTTTCCCACTCCACAGGGCCTTCCAGTATGCCCTCTCACTGACCTGAGATGGCAGAAGACACCTTACCTTCCGCCTAGCCGTGTCTGCAGCTCTTATCTCTAGGTACTGCCCTCTCCCTTTGCCTCATCCCCACCTTCAAGCCCAGTGCGGTTTCTTACAACGCCTGAAGGGCAGACTTTTGTAAAGGGGGGCTAAAAAGCCTGAGCTCCGAAGAAACGCCAGGGCCACACCTGCCAGAGGCGTTCAACTGAAAGGATGGGATGGGCCCTAGAAGGGCTAGTGGCCGGTCTGATTCCCGTTAATTCCCAACTGTTCTCATGGCATCTGCAGTGTCCAAAGAAGGAGGCCGCCGAGGCCACCGAGGAGTCCCACGGGATCCTTCAGCACCTGCGCTGGCGGCCGCAGGGACACTCAGCGTGGCGGGGCTCGCTGTGGCCCTGCAACCCGTTCTGCCACGGGAGCCTCCCTCCCCCACCCACGACCCTCCCGAGCTCGCTCTCGGCCAGCCGCAGGAGCCCTAAACCTTTCACTTTCCGCTCCCTCAGAAGCCCCTGCTACTCGCCAGCGCCCCCACTCGGGGCCAGCCTCACCGGCCCCGGGCCGCGCGGGCCGTCCGGCTCGCAGCTCCCTCAAGCATCGCGCTCAGCGATTTCAGCTCCGCGGCGGCAGCGGCAGCGGCAGCGGCAGCGGCAGCAACAGCTATGGTGGCACGAGCGGCTCAAAACGCGAACTACCGCCTGGGCTCAGCTACGAGCTGGGTAGGAGGAGCAGAGGCTAGGGGGAGCGGTCTCTACGCAGGGGGGCGTTCCCAGAGTGGACAAGTACTGCTTATAGGGGCGGAGCCAATGAAGGGGTCTAGGAAGTAGAGGGCAAGGGACTTGCGAACCACGGATTCCGCACAATGCAGTCGCGAGTATGGTTGCTAGAGGAAGGTCGGCAGAACACGGCTTCAGAACTGAGAAAACCAAGCCTTTTATGGTATTATCAGGCCCGGCCCCCCAGATAAGTGCACTTTCCAGAGCCCCAACAAAACGGTAACCACGCCCCCAGGGTGCTACGGTTGGCATTTGATAGACCCGAGGGACCAGAGCTGAAACTAACTCCTAGCTCAGAATTACAAGACTTGGGTACAGCCATAAGGTCTGTTCCCAAGGGCTGGGATTTAAAACGGATAAAATAGATTCTGCTCGCCGCCTGTCCGGCGCGTTGACCTACGTGGAAATGACTCTCCTGAGTAACTCTTTCGATCGCCGAGAGGTATATTGAACTAGGCAACCTGATTGGCCGTGATGGAAGAAAGGGGAGGGAGCTTAGGCAGGAAGGGAGGCGGGGTGTCAGGTCAATGTGCCTATGGATCTGTTTCATGGATTCCTTAGCCTCCAATGTTCCATTGTGTTCTCATCCAGAGTTAACCAGGACTTTGTTGCTCCAGATATTTTCCATGTTCCTGTCAAAACTTACTCATGAAACCTTTTCCGTAGTACAGTTACTTGGGCGAGATCAATGCCAAGCTTGCTGCCACTAGATTCCGTGGTATAGTTTTTCTAGCTCATGGGCGGGGTGTGGGGGATGGCAGAGCGTGCACAGAAATACCTTTACATATTATTTCATACGTGTTTCAGTCTAAGATTATTTTCTAGGAGCCTTTCTGCCTCATTGCTATTTAGAGAAATTACCTTACAAAAAGTTTAACCTATGCCAAAACACTTGGGCTCCAGAGAAATAGTACACTGATACATCTCTCATCTGACCCAGACAGGTCCTTGGAACCCCTGGGGGAGATGATCTGTTAGCAATAGGGAAGGACTCCTAAACCCATTGCTGTTGAGTGGGTCTTGTACAGCCAAGTGGCAAAACAGGTATATTCTTGTGTGTATTGTAGCAGGTATTAAAAATGAGAACTGTAAAGCTAACAAGTCGACACAAAGATCAGCGAAGTCACCTCCTGGGAAGACCAACTGGTAATAGCTACAGTAAGAAATAGGGGGTTGGTTCCTTCAACTCCTTGCTAGTCTGTGATTTTACCTCCATTGGGTGTGGGGTGGGGGGTGGGGGGAGAAGGAACCAATATAACACTGTTAATAAAGGGTGCCACCTGGTGTCCTTACTTGTGTGCTGCATCCCCTAGCAACTGCCATCTCCACCCACTAGAGTTGTCCCTAATTCTCTCCAGATAATTTTTGTGTCCACTAGTAGCTTTCTCACTTACATAACCACTCATGGCCAGGAAATGGGTTTACAGAATGTCATTGGTCATTTCCTGTACTAAGCTACCTTGGTTTATCCTCTTAGAGAAAATGTTCCCCAAATTACTCCCATCTGAAGCTGAAATTGCAGAGACAATACAAGCTCCTGTTTTCATTGTCAAAGATGATCTAGGTGATAAGCAACTGAGAACAGTGTAATTAAGAGATTTCTTAAGTCTAGAATCTGGATACTTCCAGTATAGGATCAAAATCACGTATTTTTAATTCTTCACAATTTAGTCCAACCTTCACCATCTAGGATACATAGCATGTAGCCTTTTAAGTGCCAATATGGGAATACGCTGTAAGATGAGAAAATAATAATCCCAGGTCAAATGTGAACAGGATTATTCCCTTTTATCCAAATTAAATAATTGCTACCCCACCCTCCAAAATGCAGCTGACCCTTACATACATATTTCACTGTTCGTGTGCTATTTCACTTTTTATTCTGCTTGTCTATGTCCTCAATATGTATACATGGTTGTCAGATTCTAAAATTCTAGATGTCTAGGAAAGGTGTATACCATTGTCTGTTTTCATGATGCTCATTAGGTAAGATTTTTAAATTCACCCTAGACTTAACAAATAAGTGCAATTATAAGATCCTAGAAAACTAACAGGCTAGAGTAAACATTTGCTCATCAATTCAAATATTTATTGAGCACCTTTACATGCAAGGCACTGTGGGACAGCTGAGACCAGTGTTCGCAGTTGGAAACAGGATGGATCTCAAAACAATGCTTCCAATACTGCTTTCCTATTTAACAAAATCTAACAGCAGAGTTTACAATAATAGAATTTAGTAGAGTTTAGATTTGTCTCAAAATTTCCAACTCCTCCCATGGTTTAGCCTTCTCACCCTCCATACATACCTCCATCACTATCACTCTACACTTAACATATCTTTGTAGAGCAGTTCAGTCATATTTAATATACTACAATTATGCCTCAGTTCAAAAGTTGTATATATCAAATTATTTCCCTCTAACTTAATTTCAAAAACACATTTTTGGCTGTTTTTTTTTCTCCAAATGGCATTAAGTCTATTTTCTCTGCATCCAGCAATTCATGTTCATGTAAAATTTCATTAGAGATAATACAATAACATGAAGTACTGATGCCCTTACATTTTCTTAAAAATCACCAATTCTGTGCAAGAAATCCATTCTGATTCTTGGTTATAAAAGTATCTGAAAATGTTCCTACTCTGTGCCTCTGTGCATTTTTTTTTTTAATCTCCTGGGAGTGAGGAATAAGGGTCATCATTTTTCAGACCCATCTTCAAAGTGCATTTACCTCTCAATTCACCTGATATCATTCCATTTCAATATCTCAACTAGTATAATTAGGGGGAAAAAAACTATACTACTAAACCCTGCTCCAAATAATATATGGATTGTCTGCCTTACTTCCACGTTCAAACATTTTTCAACTTGTTACAGAAAGGCCTGTTAAGTATTTCACCATAATTCTGGGGAAAAAAATTACACACAGTAATTTGTATGAAGTTTATATAACTGGACTTGATCTGTTAGTGACTCTAGAGTAGTTCAATGTCTAAAAGGACTCCTTTAATAAAAAATTTTTGTAAACTGTAATACTAGTTAACATATAGCTTGCTTTAAGAATATCTATTGTCCTTAGCCACTAAGACTATGTTTATGTCCTGTTATTCACCAGGGGAACACGTATGTTACACCCTGAACACACTGGTACTATGAGGCTAGCCATTCCTCACTGTAGAATGACTCCTTAAGCCAAATACTTGTCATCAAGTTGTACAAAATTTCGAAGTCTCCATGTAAAACACGCTGCAAAGATTAGACCACCAAAAACCTCCTCCAAATGGCATGTCCGAAACTTTGAAAACAGTAAGGAATACCTATTATTATCTCCTTCAGCGGCACTTCTCCCAAATATGTCTCAGGACATTAGAATTCTCTACTCCAACTCAGCACAAACCTCCCAACACCAAGTCCTGCTTTAATTATTGTAACTGATTTATTTCAAGTTTATACATTCTTCCTTCCACTTGCCAAATTTCTTCTGTTCTTAGGTTTCTAAAAAAATAGTCATTTTTCAAAAGCAGAAAAAGAAAGATATATATATATATTTAATATATAAAAGAAAAAGCTAAATCTGACATAATTATATTCTTAAAAACATTCCATTTATTTACAGATGTATAAAAAGGCAAATTATTGGCCTACTGAGATCATGCTTCTTATAGAGTTAGGGTGAGAGCTCACTATCCTCCCAATTCCTCAACTCCTCACTCAACTACATCTTTCATAACCACACATGTAATTTTCATAGATCAGTTTCTCCTGGGGTAAGGTTAAAAGGTAGGAGTTTTTGGAGATTTTAGATTTCTATCAAGACTGCAGGATTGTTCTGAAGATTGAGCCCTCCTAAAATTAGCCCTAACAACTTTCTAGTTCCAGGAAGGTCTTGAAAACACCATTATCTTGGGGGTTTTGTAATGATATCTGCAGCCTTCCTTGAACAGCTGGGATCATCTCTCATTTCTATCTTTGTACATCTCTGATAAACAGAGTTAAATATCTTCCCATCAAGTAATGAATATTACTTGTCTATTTTCTTCTAAAAAAAAAAGAACAGTGTTCAGAAGCAGAATGGTCCTTCTTTTCCTGAGGATTACTCGCTCACTTGCCTGCTCCTTGGCTGACCCTCAGAAGCTACAAGAGCCTTGGGAAGTCAGGAGGAAATGCAAGGACAAGACAAGCAAAGAAATAATGGGAAACTGCTATACCTGGATTAAACTACTAGCATCTCCAAGGACAATTATTAGCAGGGAAGACAGGTGCTGGACTCCTTGGCTAAGGCATTGAATGAAACCTCCTGGGTAAAGAGAAGTGGGAGGGATAATGAGAAGCTGAGGGGTGCTCATTACCTACTTCAAGCTTCTTCAGTAACCTTTAGAGGTGGGAAGGTTGAATGCTGATGAGGAGGTCTAGAAAGGCAAGTAACACAAAACCAACAAAGAATTTGTTCCCACTGCAATTTGCAGAAGAAAATTTCCCACCCTTTTCAATCTGTTTATTACCAGAGTTACTAGAAAGGGAACCAACCACGGAGGTAATAATTCACTAGCTAGGACCATTCCAAAGTTGGTTTCACAACCTAGTTTTGAAGATATGCTGAGTGGGATTTGGGATAAAGAAGGCAGGGGATGTAGAAGAAACAGCATCACCTAGGCACAGCCCAGGCACTGGAAGCTCTTGTGTTAGTGTTTCACAACACAAGCAAATCCTGTCAATGAAGACAGAACAGGGGTTACATTCCAAAATATAATTATTTAAGAAAGGCAAAATGCAGCAGCTAAATCCCAGTCTATACATTTTCAGAATAGTGATTCTTGCCCCCAGGAGTTTCCAAGAGACCCCTCAAGTGCACCATGATTATTTACAAACTAGATAGGAAACATCATTTCTATACTCAATACAAATCTCATCTCCTAGGTTGAAAACTTCAGCCTTTGAGAAATCTATGAAAACAACTATACAAAAATATAAATATCTTTATCTTTACAGGCTGTCAGTCCTTCATACCCTGACAGCTAATGAGTGAAAAAGCTCTACAGATCACTGAATCCATGGTAGCAGATAATAAAAAATATATCTTGTGATTCAAATACTGCCTTATTTCCCTGGTAAAGAATGCCTACTGTGACTTTTCTTTTCTTTACATCCTGTGCAGGTAATAGTGAATGAAACCTTCAAGCACCAGGAGGCTGGCTTGATTTGGGGAACATCCAGCCTCACAGATTTTTATTTTGGCCACTGTCTCTGGTATGGAGAGGGAATGCTTTTCATTTTAGCTGTCTCTTGAGTGATGTGATTTGTGAAAGGGGGTGGACTCCCTCTATGCCTACCTCCAAAATATGTAATCCAGGTAGAAATCCTTGGTACTATGAAATGGTCTTCTCAACACCCAAAGACAATAAGGGAGAACTAGTAATTTTAACATCTCAAAATGATTACCTTAGTAATAAAAAGTTTTTGTTTTAAAGCATTCCTACTTTACCAGAAGGCTTGGATTTATAATTCTGATTGAAAAGGTGAGGGAATGGAAGCTACTTGGGATATAAAAGAAGAGAAAATTTTGTTGAATGACACTAAGTCCTTCACTTTGGTATTCCATGGTACCCATCCTCTCTCCCCCTACTCTTGAAACACCAACTAAAAACTATCTCTTCTGGATCCCTCTGCACAAGTGCATCACATTCCTTGCACTTCAGATTTAAACAACTTAAACAACAGCTATCAACTAAGGTTCAGTTCATAGCAACTCCAAAGTCTCAAGCAGCTTTTACTCTGGGAGGGAAGAACTAGGAACCACTATGGACCTACAGTCTTGTTATGAATTCCTTGGGTAAGAGGGGCACCTCGTGTTCAGTAATGGATCGCATCTTCTTAGAGAGGATGAGGAGACCCAGCACCACAAGTGAGGTAACACATTTTAACATGATCAGAATTTCATAGTAGTAATTTCTTATACCGAGGTCAGCACCCTACCCCCTTTCTCTACCATCATCCACTGCATCAAAGTCAAGGATCACAGTTCCATGACACAAACAGGTGCCTGCAGAGAAAGGAGGTTTCCCCTCACAGCCTGGCTTCTGCCTGAGGACAAATAAGTTCATTTCCCTGCAGAACTTGGTGAGGCCCCAGAGTTGCCCAGTTTGGCCACAACAGGTGCCAATGTAGGCATCATCTTACTGTCCCGGCATTCCTGGTCATTCCCTGTTAAGTTCATTTTGTGTCCAACTGACCCA